TGGCTGTATTTTCCAAAATCAGAAATCCATATAACTTAGAAGTTCCACTTCTAAAATACATATTAAGTATATGTACTTAAACATGTGCAAACTGGAAAAAATACAGGTGTGTTAGTGTTAGTTATTCTGTTATTCTACTATTGGAAATTTCCTGAATGATCCTTGTGAAGAGACTGACTAGTTAGGGATGTTATGGTCCATCTTAACAGGAGAATGCTGCATATTCAGAAAAAGAACAAGGAATCTTTTTATGTATTGACATAAAAAGAATTCAAAATAATTGTTAATTGAAAATCAAGGTATAAGGAGAAATGCCACAGGCTATCACTTATATAAAAAAGGGGGATGAAAGTGTATGGAGAGATTAAATTGAACTAAATCAAATTACCACCACTGGATTTTTTTTTCTCTACAAAAAATTACAACTAGTCCCATTTGGTTTAACCTAATGCTTGCTGGGAAATGAATAAAATAGTCTGCTTTAAATTGATAATATTAGTTGGGTTTTGTGGGGTACACAACTAAGTTGATTAGTGACAGTGATGACATTTTTATATGCTGTGAATATTAAATCATAAGAATATATGAGGGGACTGTGCTGTGTGCCATAATCAGTTCAAAAAGGCAAGTATAGCTTAAGACCACTACTATTAAAATCTGAGGAAAGACTTACACACAGAATCATCCTTCGGTGGTTACCAAGAATGGAAAAGGAGAAAGAGGGGAGTAAAAATTAATAGATAAGATGGGTAAATGGAAAGGAAATAAGTAATAAGATGTTTACCAGATACAGTAATTCATGATTGAATGAAAGCTCAATATGATTTTTAATCTTTAATTCAAATAAGAAGAGTTTAAAAATATAGGACCTATTAAAAATAAATTACTGAATGTCCAAAAGCACAACAGAAAGTAGCCCTGATTCTAAGTTGGCTGGAAAAATAAAAAAGTGCATTATTTCTTACTTAGAAGCAAATAAAATAAATCACTGAAATGATATATGTTGCTGTATACCATCAAGTTAGGGAGCTCTGGTGGCCGAGTGTCAAGAAGCTGTGCTGCAGTCCTGAAGGCTCGCAGTTTGAATCCCTCCAGCTGCTGTGCAAGAGAAGAATAGACAGTGGCCTCCTGTGTGATTAACTGCCTCTGAAAATCTGCCAGAAGGTCAGCTATGGGTCAGTCCTGACTCTACAGTACACAACAACCACCACCATCAAGTTGGAACTGATTCATAGCTGACCCTCCAATCAATTTCCAGAGACAGTAAATTGCGTGAGAGGAAATTGTCCCTCTTTCTTCCATGGAGTGGCTGGTGGATTCAAACCATGTCTTTGCATCAACAGCACAATTCCTTACTGCTAAGTCAAACTTTATCTTCTTTATACGGAATGAAACAAATGTGATGTTTCTAAACCAAAGGAACCAGTTTGTTTTAGTTTCTTGTTTTCAATCTACTTTTCCAGAAAATTCTAAGAATTATCTTGAGATATCTAAGAAGAAGAAATATAGTTTTTAGCATTTTTGGGGGGGGCGAGGAAATAAAAATGAATACTGCATATAAATAGAGACCATTTCTGAATAGTTCTTTCTTCTCCTTCTTCTAATGAGTCAGCTATATTAAAAAATGGAACAGTGAGGAAAGATGGAAAGGCTAAGGCAGATATGAAATGAGCTCATTAAAAAGAAAATGACTAAATCTCTTTTCCTATTCTGTAGAGTATATTAGTTGTAGTAGATATGTTGCAAAACATTTCTCCACTATGTGAATGATAATTCAAGAGATGTAAATGTCAAAGGAGAAAAGGGGGTACATTTAGGTCCCTCTTTTAATAGGATTTGGAAATAAAGTGAGCTAAAATTTTGTTGACTTGAAATTTCCAAGATAGATTTCATATCTTAGAGATCAGTACTATTCCCAACAAAGCAACTTATTATCCTCAGTGAGATACTAGAGAGAACCTGTGGGGTATTGTATTCTCACCTTCTAGCTGAACATAAGGAATCTTTAGTGAAAGAATACAGCTTTATTACTGAATACTAAAGGATTGTAGTATTTTCTACTTTCTGAAAGTATTCACAGAGAACAACTCAGAAAAATCCTTGGGCAGAGCTGTTCTTGTTAGATGCTGACAAGTCGAGCACGACTCATAGCAACCCATGAACAATGAACCCACACTTGTCCTGTCCGGTGCCATCCTCACCATCTCCTCACATACTCAAGTCCATTTGTGCAGTCACTGTGTCAATCTACCTGTTTGGAACTCTTCCTCTCCTTCACCGTGTCTCCACCTTCCCACGCATGATGTCACTTTCTAAGAAATAACCTCTCCTAACAATATGCCCGAAGTATGTGACATGAAGCTTCATCTTAGTCTCCATGGAGCACTCTGGCTGCACCTTCTCCAAGATTTATCTGTTTGTTCTTTTGCCAGTCCATGGCACATTCAGCACTTTTCTCCACCACCATAGTTCAAAGGCATAAATTATTCTCCAAAATCTTTATTCATTGTCCAGCTCTCAGATGCATAGCAAGTGACTGAAAACATCATGGCCTGGATCCGGTACACCTTAGACCTCAAATTAACATTGCTTCTCAATAATTTGGAGAGCTCTCTGATTACAGCTTTCCCCCGTGCAATACATTTCCTTATCTCCTGACTGCTGATATACGCTTAGGTGTATTCATGGTGGATCCAAGTAAGATGAATTAGTTGACAGTGTCAATCCTTTCTCCATACAGCATGATGTTGCCTATTGGTCGAGGGGAGGGATCTATAGAGAAAAGAACGAACCATTTGCATTTCAAAATTTGAACACTTTTTTCAAGGTACAAAATTATTTTAAAATATTAACAGCTCAATTAACAATGCATTTTTATCAAGTCAGATACAAGTAGTGTTCTAAAGAAATATGTATTTTAACACTATCTGCAATAAGCAAGCAAACATCAAGTGAATTCCCTCTTATAATACAGGTTACCTTAAAGCCTAAATGACCTGATGTTTTGCTGCCGTTCTGTGAGATCCTTTGTTCATGGAACATATCTGTCTTACTCCAAAACCAAGCCCAAACTCAACACTATTGAGTTGATTTCAACTCACAACAACCCCACAAGGCAGAGTAGAACTGCCCCATAGGTTCCCAAGGCTGTAAATATCTATAGAGGAAAAAACCCAACTGCCTCAATTTTCTGCCATGGAGCGACTGATGGGTTTAAACTATCAACCTTTTAATAGGAAGCCAGGCACTTTGTGCTGCCAACCCAAATGTGCATGGTTAAAACTCACCAGCTGCTTTGTGGGAAGAAGATGAGTTATCTCCTCCTGTAGGATTTATAGACTCTGAAAACCTGCTGGAAAGACAACTCAGTCAGTTCTGACTCGATGGCACATAACAACGACATGATCATGATAGATGATAGATGATAGATAGATAGATAGATGATAGATAGATAATAGGGGGTAGCTCTGGTGGTAGTCTGGAGCAAGTTTCACATAATCAGTTGTCTGAATCTACCAGCAGCTGCTCAGGAGAAAGGTAGTTTCTTCTCATTGCTTTTTCATCTTGGAAAACTCAGAGGAGGGTCCTTATCAGTGGGAACCAATTTGATGACAAAGAATATGACTTTTCAGTCTATAAAATATAGTAACTTTGATCAGCAAGTTCTTGAATTATCAAAGATGTTGATTTGGTTTGTGTTACATATAATCCTTTCAAGTTCTTTGAAACTTGTTAACTCTTGTGTCTTGTAACTCTCAGGTACCCAGAATATTAAATTTCTGAAGCTGTTGCCAGGTCATTCTGTTTAAATTAGAAGTTGTTTCATCTGCTCTTTCATGCCTCAGCCCCCACTCTGTGACATTCTGAGATATTCTTTACTCTTTTTGAGCCCTAAGCTTGAAGGAGTCCTGGTAGTATGGTAATTACAGTGTTTGGCTGCCAACTTCAGGGTTGGTGATTTGAACTCACCAGATGATGCATGAGAAGAAGATGAGACAATATACACCCATAAAGATTTGCAGGCTTGGGAACTCTGTAGGGCAGTTAAACCTTCATTTAATTCAGTGATCACTTTTTAAATGGATCTGGTCAGCAGTTGCAATCACCCATCTGCTCTGAGAAAGAAAAAAGGACAGTCTCCTCCCATAATGATTTATAGCCTTGAAACTCTGTGGATGGTCACAATCAACATGTCAGTTTAAAGTAAAAATGGACTCTGCTTTCATTAAGACAGCAAGGTTAGGGCCCATTTCCTCTAGTGAAGAGACATGAAAATACAATTGCCTGTTAAGTCCCTTCAGCTTTGCAAAGTGTTAACTTGTGTTATCTAGAATATTAAACTTGTGAGGCCGTTCACAGATCTTTCTGTCTAAGCCAGAACTGGCTTTGCCTGTACTCCATGTCTCAGTACACTCCTGGACACTACCACACTACTGTCATTCTTATAATGTTATGGGATGAATGGTGCATATGCTATTTTCCTCCATTTAACAGTGAAGAATGAAAAAAATTCTGAAAATTCTGCATACCTTCCCAAATGGTATGAGTAGGATTTGAAATCAGTCCCTAGAATTATGCAAAAAGGATTGTGAGTCTGTATAGAGTGAACCATATACAGCCACTGATGACTCTGTACTTGCCAAGGTAATTGTATAAATGTCAAAGCTTGTCTAGAAGACTGTAAAGATGAAATAAGATGAGTACAATTAAGTCCAAGTGGACTCTACTGTGGAAATGTTAACAAGCATTTACTTTTCTTGTAGCAGATAAATTGAAATTGAGCCTATACAATTTGCTCTACATTAAACAGTTGTATTTTCTTGAGTGTACTAAAAGAACTTCCTTTGGCATCTAATAATTTTGTAGTGTGATTAGTTTGTGTCTTATGTCTGGAGAAGGTTCCAACTTGCAAATACTGGCCAACTTTGTGGTTTCTTGCTTCTTTGAAATGTTATTTCTTTGTGTCTTAAAATTCATCCAAATTTTTTTTTTATTTATAGCTCACTGATTATGAAAAAATACTTCCTGAGACCAGTAAAGGTAAAGATATGGGAGGTTTGGACATTCCCTCTTCAGATACCTCGTCTAGCAAACTTCTTCTGGTTGAACTCAAGGAAAAACTAGAGAAAGAACCTGTAACATCAAGCCAACCAATAGCAGCTAAGTTCTCTACTAAATCTGTTGGCATGACTAGAACCAAAAAGAAATTCTAAGATTTCTTCCAACATGGAACAGTACAAGAAAAAGGCTGCTCTCTTCCTAGTGCTAAAACAAGGAGATAGGAAGGAGAAAAGGATGGGCAGTCCAAGCTCTCAGCCTCTTAGCTCCACTGAATACTGTCAGGTATTTGCATCAATTTAAAATTGAAACTGGTTATCTCATGAACTGCATATGGGGATAAAGGACAGCCACTCATCAATTCAACGGTGGGCTGCTACTGACATCAACTCAAGATGTCTGCAGGGGGTGTTTAGATGAGCATAGCCCTCAAGGCAGCAGGACCTGTTGGGAAGGCTTTGGGACATTCTTGCTCACTTCCTTGTCACAGTCTTATATTTATTTAGTCACAGTTATTTATAAGGGAAAATGAAAAGCCAAGTATGGCAATAGAGGTTTCAAATAATTGTGTGCAGTTTGCATTAAAAGATTTTGTTAAGAAAGTATCAATAAACTTGCCATAGACATTATAGCCAAAGTGCTTCCATCATTCACATGTGTTTCTGTGATTTTAGGTTGCTATAGATTGCTTTAGACAACTTATTTTAAATGTATGGAGATAGGAGATTTTGTAACTTCTTGGTATTGCTGCTAAATTCCCACTGTATTGATTAGATCAATAAAAGGACAGATGTTGCCTGTGCAAGTTAATTTTTATGTTAACAAGAGATAAATGTAGTACAGTTTTCTAAAGCCTTAATGGAAATTACGAACTTGTTCTGCTGCTGCAGAAGTTAAGCACCCATCTTTGGGGAAAGTTATGAGGCTGGATTCTGGGGAAAACATAGGATTAATATGAATGTTACAGGTACCTTCTTTTCCACCTGGATAAAGAGGATGGTTTTTAAAAAAAACAAAAAAACTCAAGGTCAAACTGGGAGGATAGGAGTTACACTGCCAACCCAAAGTCAGGCAGTTCAAATCCACTGGCTTCTCCAAAGGAGAAGGAGAAGCAGTCTCCTCCCATGTGTTTCACAGCCTCTGCAAACCTGCTGGGGAGAGTCAGCTATGAGTTGATTCTGATTTGAGGGCAGGGAGTTGTGGGGGCTTTTCTTAACAAATGCTAGAGAAACAATTTGCAGTAGCTTTACTTTTTTAAATTTATTTTCATTCAGCCACATATATACACGTCTGTCATTTACCTCATTTTGTCAGAACCTTGACTAGCTTTATCTTTCATCAAACAGTAACTTAATTTTACTTTAATCCCCTATGGAATTGTCATATAGGCCTCCAAAATTACCCCCATCTCGTTCACTAAGCATACATTCCTCCTCTCATTGCTCTTGATTCATAGCTGACCCTCCAGCAGGTTTCTAAGGCCGTAAACCACACTAGAGGCGACTGCTCGCCTTCTCCATAAAAATGGCTGGTGAATTTAAACCACCAAAGAAATGCAACTTCTTTAGGTCAGCAGCACAAGTCTCTATGGACTATACCACCAGAGCTGAGCATGTACTTGTTACGTAAAATCAAATTCATTCAATGGCTAGAGGTAATAGATGTACTTCTTCGCTTTCAATTAATTTAGGAGAGATTGTTGTGGTCCTGAATGGGTCAGAGATAACACAGACGAGTGTTTCTCCTACCTGAATTGTTTTGACTTTCTGTGTGCTTCCTTTGGGGAACTCTGCCAGTCAAAACAGGGAGCCTGTTGGGAGTTGCAAAGCTAGCTAACCCCATAATCATGCCTCTCTAGTGGTTCTAAGTGACCATCAGCTCCTTGGGAGAAAGATGAACAATCTCCTCTCGTGCAATTTTCAGCCTCAGAAACCCACTGGAGGATCAGGTATGATTATCATTTCTAGCCTCATTACATTATCCAGGAACCTGGACACACACACACACACACACACACACACACACACACACACAGAAGGAAGGATGGAGGGAGATAGAAGTTTCTAGCTCTGATTCTGCCCATTCCTTGATCTTGAAAAAGGAATATTTCCTACATTCATGATGCTCTTACTTTCACAGTGATACCATCTTTTAGAGTTGGTGAATTCTTTTGTTAGATTGAATACTGTCCAAATACTATGTTTGTCGTTGGTTCTGAACTAGGAATTGTGTTCATTAAGCTTGACCAGAGATCTAGAACTAAAAAAATGAAGTAATTTTATGACACTTGAGTATATCACACCTTTTTTCTCTCTGGCACCAGGTTTAGATCAATTGCCTTTCCTACCATAAGATGGGTTCTACTATCTTAAGTTGAGAAGATTTTGTGTGGGATCATTTTGATAGAATATAGTTTACTCATGGGAGAGATAATTACCGTTTGTTATTCCATTATATGGAGCACAATTGGAGAAGACTATGTCTCAGCTTAATTTTTCAATTGCTGTGTCTCTTTAATATCTGGGGGCATATGATCTTGGTTTCCTGATTATGAAAAAGTAGCTCTTCCATTTCAGATTGGTTTTTAATGGTCTGTAAGCCAATGTCAAGGCTTTAATTAAAATCACCTTGACATTTCTGCATTCCTAACCTAGATAGACACACTCTATCTAGAATACACAGCAGACATTATTTCCAAGAAATACAAATACTGATCAGCATTCTGAGTTCAGTAACAGATAAGTAAAGGCAGAGGAATATGACAAAAAGAGAGAAATATAGTCTGGAGGCTGAGAATATCAGGCAAGAAGAAAAAAATTAAATCAGAGATGAGTTTAAATTCTAGAAGAAAGGCATATGGCGTGGAGATGGGGGAATAAAGTATCATTAGTAGAGAAAGCTAGTGGTTTGGCAGAATATGATTGTGCCAAATTTGGAAGCAGGGGTCAGAGTAAAGAGGCTTGCTCATGGAACAGTCCATTGCTCCAGATAAGTCTGAGGTAAAATTAGTCCTATCACGTGTCCTGTATACAAGTAAACCTAGATAAAGACACAGGCTGAGGAAACAAGCCATAGAGAAGTGGAAGCTGAGAGATGGAGGAGGTTCTTTTAAGAGCTAGCCACAGAATAGTCCTTGCACCTGCAGTAGGAGCATTGTGTGATAGTGGGAAAGGTGAGGATTTAAAAAAAAAATCCAAACATTTTGTGCTTATCACTGAAATGTTTTGTTTAAATAATTCGATTTGACAAAATATAAGTTCCAGGATAGATCAAAAGCAGCCGGTCTTGAAAATGAAGCCTTTCAAATTCCAGTCCTGCTGTTGGAATACAGAATAAATGCTTTGTTCAAACATGCATTCCCAGCAGTAAGCAACACTTTGAAATTGGCTAGGGAAGTGGTGCTCTATAATGGCTGCACTTGGCTGGAGACCATGAAGCTGTGGCCTTTGGGAAATGACTCTGTGTTGGACATTTCCCATCTGCCCCTTTAGAATCATTCTGCTCAGGGCTGCCCTCTCTGCTTGGCAAGGCTGACCTTTAGGGACTTCATTGACAGGCTCCCTTGTGTTCTGGATATGTTTGGATTCAATCCATATGAGGGACCAACAAGAAATAAGCATGGGAAGGTAACACTTGGATGCCGGGCTGCTGGGAATTAGCCACGTTCTGTCACTGGGTCAGGCAACCTTCTTTTTGCCTTTAGGACAAGACCAGTGGTTCTTGTCCTAAGGTACAGAATCTTCCTTTGTGGATTTCCCCAGCATCCCATCTGCCCTTCACCCATTCACTCCAATACTTTTTAAACAACCTATTGGTTTGGGTTTTTTTATAGGAATTAGAGTTTTACTATCTGTTTTCTTACCTAAGAATTCACTGCTGAAAACTAGGTCTCAACACCTCTACCCCTATGAATTATTCTAAGAGTGCTATCCATGGTTTGCAGTCAATGTTTAGGTAAGATTCATTGTTTGATTTTTATTTGTGGCATCCAGCTTCATTCTTTGCCATGTGGAAATCCAGCTGTGCTAAAATGACTTACTGAAGAGACTATTATTTTTCCATTGAGTGGTAAACAGTACCATTGTTAAAATCTCAACTACTCCACTTAATGTACCATTTCTTCCCTAGTGAGGTCCAAAATGATCTAGACGCTTTCCTTATCCTTCTTAATCCAGGCAGTTTTGTCTCTGATTGTCAATCCCCCCTGCATAACAGTAAGTTGAAGAGCCAAGAGTCTATAAGCGCTATCCCTGGGGGGGTTGGGGGGTGTGGGAAAGGATGTATCTAGGTCACTCAGGGGTGAGGAAGGGGCAGCAGGGAAGCATTCCTGATGTAGAACCTGGGCCAAGAAGCGTCAACCCGACACTGCCAAGCTGAACTGAAACGTTGAACTGCTGAGACCGAGAATGTTTGAATGTACTCTTAAATTTCAGCTGTGGCCTTTTGGAACCTAAGGAAGTAGCATCTTGTTTGTCATAGTAAAGAAGATATACAAGCATGTAAAGGAAGCTATCCAAGGGAACTTGTAGTACTCAGAAGACAGCATGTCTCCCTATGCCGTACAAATACTTCATCTACAAGCCCTAAAAACAACTAAAAAAACCCTTTTTCCCCTTTTACTTATAAAAGCCTTTTAAACCAAATTTTTCACTGTCAGTTCTTCATACTTTCATTTTTCAAAAGTTCTTTGTAGTTTCATTTTGCTCCTCTGGAACTTGTATTTTTCTGAGTGAACTGTGAAGCCATCTGGTCCAGGACTTTCTTATGGGGAAGTCTTTTTATGACCTGTTCAATTTCTTTTGTGATGGGTCTGCTCAAGTGTTCTATATCTGTCCTTGCCAATCTGGGTAGGGCATGAGTTTCAAGGAAATTCTCCATTTCTTCTAGGTTTTTTAATTTGTCCGATGAGTACATTTGTCAGAGTGAAACATCAGTATTATACTCCGTTAGTGGTAAAAGCAGATAATTTATTGAAAGGTAGATAGATGTAGATAGATTTGTTAATCGAGAGGTACTAGCACACAGGTAAGTACTATACTATGCCAGATTACAAAAAGATATTTTTGGGGGCGGGGGAGCAAAAGGCTGTGCAAACCCTGAAAAAGGTTTCAAGAGGTTGTTAAACTAAATTCTTCTTAACAATTTAAGTTGTATT